TCCATACAACTAGCCAGAGTGATGATTCCAGAGGAAAAGCTACTGCCATCTTTCTTGTGACCAGACTATAGTGGTATTGTTCCCAAAAGTCAATTCTTTAGAAATTGGAAATGGTTTTTATTTGTAAGTCTTTGAAATTAGATCATGTGTAGTGAGAGAATTATGAATGGGCCAAGTTCATGAAGGAACTTAAATTGATACTGATACATTAGAAGGAACCAGTGAGCACTGTTGATGCTACTAACTGGAAGGAGGTTCGGAATATGTGCTCATTCCTGTCCCATTCCACCCTCACTTCCTTATTTTAATGGCTTGCACTGCTGAATAAAATCAAAGAGCAGCCATCCTCATCTCATTCCAATTTAAAGGACTTTAACACGTCTTTCCCATTAAGCAGAATATAGCAATAGAATTTCTTCTAATGTTTATTATCCTAAGTTGAAAGTGCACACACATATACATACACAGAGTGGGGAGGTATCTTCCATCTGCTAGTTCACTCCCTAAATTCACTCAATAGCCAAGACTGAGCCAGGAAGAGCCTGGAACTCCATTCAGGTCTTCATGTGGGTGGCAGAAGCCCAGGTACTTGTGCCATTATCTGCTGCCTCTCAAGCAGGTTATTAGGAAACTGGATTAGAAGTACAGTAGACTTGAACTGGCACCGTAATATGGGATGCTGGCAGTATCCCAAGTGGTGGCTTAACCCGCTGCACCATGATGGTTTTAGAACTGGCCTTCATCAAGTTAAGAAAGTTCACCTCTAAGTTTGCAGAGGTACTTTTAGTCATGACTACAGGTTGGAATTTGTTACATGCATTTACTCCATCTGTTGAGATTTTTTTGTTAAAGATTTATTTATTGGCCATTGGTGGGAGGGGGTGGTAACTAGCAGATAGACTTCTGTCTCTCTCCCCTCTCCTTCTGTTAACTCTGCCTTTCAAGTTTATTTGCGTTCACTTCCCAAGTGGCCCCCAACAACCAGGGCTGGGACAGGCCAAAGATAGGAGCCAGGAGCTTCTTCCAGGTCTCATTCCTTTCCAGTGTTTTTTAAGATTTTTTTTCAATTCAATCACTGTTTTAGATGCATCTCACAAATTTCTCTTTTTAGTTATACACTTTCTCATTTTCCTTTGGATTGCTTCTATGAACACTTTATTTATAATTGCTTAGTTTCCTAATATTTGAGAGCTGTTCCAGCTATTCTTATATTGCTATTTCTATTTTAATTCCATTATGGTCACAGAACATACTTTGTACAGTCTGAGTTCTTTTAAACTTGAGACTTGATTTACAGCCCAAACTGTGGTTTATCTTGATTATGTTCCATTTGCACCCGAAAAGATGGTATTCTGCTATAGTTGGCTGGGGTGTTCTATAAATTGTCATTTTTAAAAGAAGATTTATTTATTTATTTGAAAGTCAGTTACACAAAGAGAGGAGAGGGAGAGAGGGAGAGAGAGAGGCCTTCCATCCGCTGGTTCAATCCCAATTGGCTGCAATGGCTGGAGCTGTGCGGATCCGAAGCCAGGAGCTTCTTCCAGGTCTCCCATGCAGGTGCAGGGTCATCTTCCACTGCTTTCCCAGGCCATAGCAGAGAGCTGGATTGGAAGTGGAGCAGCCAGGGCTTGAACTGGTGCCTATATGGGATGCTGGCACTGCAGGTGGTAGCTTTACCTGCTACGCCATACTGCCGGCCTCTATAAATTGTCAGTCAAGTTGGTTGATAGTGTTCTTCAAGTCTTATATATCCCAACTTTTAAAATCTGGGTATTTTTTGATTGTTTTATCTTCAAGTATTTTTTCCTTTCATTTTTTTTTTTTCTTTTCTTAAAGATGTTTGACAGGCAGAGAGAGCATGCTTTATCTTCATCTGCTGGTTCACTCCCTAAATGGCCATACTAGCTAGCTGGTACAGGCTGGAACCAGGAGCCCCTAACTCCATCTGGGTCTCCTATGTGGATGGCAGGGCTGCAAGTACTTGGGCTATCTGCCTCTGCTTTCCTAGGCACATTTGCAGGGAGTTGGATTAGAAATGGAGCAGCCGGGACTCAAACCAGTGCTCCAGTATTGGATGCCAGCATCAGAAGTGGTGGTTTAAGCCGCTGCACAACTCCAGCCCCTCATTGTTTCTGTTAACTCGTGTGTGTGTGTGGGGGGGGGGGCGGTTATGTTGGTCTTTGTTTCTTATTTCATTTTGATAGTTTTTAATGTTGTATGTTGAAGTCCACTATCTTTTCTTCTCCAATGTCTGTTAATCCCACCATTATATTTTTCATCTCAGGCTATTTCTCATCACTGAGCTGACTGTATATTTTTGTATCTTCCACTTACTGTGCTTAATCTTTCTTGTATTTAATGTCTTTGGTTCTGTAATTCTATCATCTGTATCATAATTCTTACTTCTCTGTATATCTGTTAATTTTTGTCTCAGGCGTTCTGAGTTTTACATTGTATGCATATGCAAAAATATAAATGTATAAGTAAATACTTTTATCTTTGTAGCGGGACACAACTAAGTTACTGGGAAACACTGTGGTCCTTTCCAGCTTGCTTTCACTCAGACAAAACCAACTCAGCCTTTAGGCTTAATTTGACCTCACAATGGACACAATAACCTTTCATGTATGCTACCAGGTATCCCTAATTATTACTAGATAACTTCACTCTGTTGAGAATGTAAACTACTCCCCACCCTGAGGACACACCAAGAATTGATTCACCTGCTCTTTTCCAGTGGTTCATTGCCTGATTCCAGGGTTCATTTGCTGATCATAACTCAGTAGATCTGTAGCTATCTTTAGTTTTCACCAGAGCTCAATTCTCTTCCCTGGTACTTTGCCCTGCTAATACCATTAGTTGTCTTTGCTTCCTCAAATTCTCAATTCTATTTCGTCAAGAAGACTGGAGAGCACTAAAACCTGTCTGTAGGCTCTGGTCCTGCCAGGTGCACAGCACTCTCCAGGGAGGCTAGGAAAGGGGGCCTTTCAGCAAAACAAGGCACAGCTCCACAACTGCTGTGAACTTCACTTAAACTGTGCATTTTGACATGCAACTCTGTGTAAGAGCCAGAAATTTATTCCTCAGTTAAGGAAAGCAATACTCCCAATCTCAATCTTCCAGCAGTCATGATTGATGCCTGTGTTTAACGTCTTAGGAAGCACTTTTGATCTGATTTCCCCTATCAGTTTCAGAATTACTTTCTGCACAGTTTGAATCCTGTATTTTTTTTTAATATGAAGATAGGGCAAATAAAATGAGTACCTTGAAGTCATGTGAAGGATATACCAGTTTTAGTGTGGTTGAGAAGGGCACGCTCTTGTTTAGATAAAAAAGCTGAAGCTTATGTGTAAGCACATTTTTAAAAGAAATCTTTTAACATTAAAATCTGATTTGATCTGAGAAAAGGCATATCATGTATTAACTTGAACCTTTGGCTTTTTGTTGAGGAGTCTTGTGCTGTCCTAGCTGTGCCTGAGGAAGGCTTCAGATGTGTTGCCAGAATTGTGACAAGCAAGTATCCTGGCTCTGCCACCCAGATCTTTTAAAAGCCTTCTACCTGTCAACCAGTATACTCCTAGCCATAAATGGTGGCTAATACCCCAAGCCCCTGAAAAGTTAAATGACCTGGCCAGTATTCTAAGTGCAAGGATAGGCAAAAACAAAAGGCTTCTAATTCCAAAATCAGTGTCCTTCTGCTGGATCGCACTGCCTGCCTCCAGGACTGGGGAAGAGCACAGGGAGAGTCCTGAGGCCATCATTTTATGATCGTTCCTTTGTTGTGCTTCACTCAGCACCAGTTGGATCAAGCAGTGTTTGTATGGAATCTAGTGTTAAGTCTCCCCAGAAGGCAGCAGGGTCTTAGAGAAGGGGTGGGGGGATATTTTTTCTGGTCCGTATGGATATTTGTAGCATCATTCACAGGACATACAAAATTATTAACTTAAAAATTGGTCTGCATTAGATTTATTGAATTTCCAGTCCCACCTGTTGATGCCTTGGCAGGGCCAGACCAACTGATTTCATGAGTCTTACACAGCCTGTAGGCCAGATGTTTCCCAACCCTGGTACAGAGAATGAGACTGATCTGGAGAGGCTATGAGAATGTGGCTGTGGTTTTCTCATAGCTCCTCCATCATTGCCTGGTGGCATTTAGTACTTACTTTGCTAACTGCACTTTTTCAAAAAGTATAAATCCAGGTAATGAAGAGAAGGGCAAAAGTTGCTATGAAATGTTACTGGGCCTTGGTCTGCACAGGTTCAACTCTGGGCAAAGAGGAACAGACTTTCAGATTTTCAGAACAATTACTTGCTGAGATGGCTTTTAGCATGTTGTAAGGGCTGAGTTTTCAACACAGAATTTGTTAAACTATACACTACATAGTAATGATTTTTCAAATGACCAAACCATTAAAGGAAATTTACACTAATTTTTAATGAAAAGTAATACACTGTCTCCTGCATAGACTTCCACACACCCATGCCTTTTCTACCAGAATAGAAATTGAAACCAATTATAAGGCATTACCATAAATAAGGTATTACCATTTTCTACCTATTTCTCCATCTTCTAACCACATACAAAAGAGCAAGTTTAGAGTGGTGCTAATTTTGATAAGCCATATGTAATGATATTAAAGAGCAGGCAGGAGAACAGGGCACGTACTCTCCCTGCTCCAAGGACAGCTCAGGGAAGGCTGGGCCTTTCAGTTTCATTTAGTTGTGAATTATTCCCAGAGCCCAAAAGGTGGGACATAATAAAGAGGGAATTTTATAAATTACTATTAACAGACTGACTTCATATTTTACACAGCCCTGTGTTACACTGAATTACAACATTGTAATGATTTTAATATCCCTTTTGAGATTATGATATTCAACTTTGTAAACCAGTACTTGACACACCGCATTTTAAAAAGTGCTTCTGATGTAACATATAGAAAAAGAAGTACACCAATACCATAAAGTCTTTTTTTTTTTTTTTTTTAACTTTCACAAAGGATTTGCTGTAAGTCTTCAAGTCATCTTGTCCAATCCAAAAGCTGTATTTAAACGTCGTGGATCCCAACCAGGGATGCAAGAATCTGACTTTCTAAAACAGATAACAACAGTTGAAGAACTGGAACCTAAAGCAAATAACTGCACCAAGGTATTCATTTTCCTTATGCTGCCTGACCTTGAGTGTCAGCATTAACAGCATGGTTACCCAAAATGTTTCCATCCCCTTTAGGTTCTTGTGTGGCACACCCGGACAGAGAAGGTTAATTTAGCCAACGAGCCAAAGTACCGCCTGGACACAGTGAAAATTGAGGTCTAAAATGGAGAAGCAACTGGTGCAGCTTTCCAGTCCCGGAATATGGAAGAGGATGTTTGCAGTTTAGGCTGAAAAGCATTCAGGTATTATTCATGTTACTTCAGTACAACAGCCGATTTATTGTCATCTGATGGACATCTGTTTAAACAGAGCTTGTCAGTTAACATGTTAATTGGATGGTACAAAGTGTGTATATTGTCTTCATTTGTTCTGCATGTTTTCCTTACAATTTAATTGGAAGATTTCTGTACAGTACAGCTGAATGACTAAATGCAAGGTATCATTCTGAGTATATCTTTTGTTTTCCCATTTGCTCTTACAACCGGTAGAACTGAACAGATTTTAGAAACACATGACAGGTATTTTGTCAACTAAACTTCCCAATTCCTGACTCTGCAACATTAAGAAATTTTTGGACGGCTGGTGGTAGTTTACATCATAAGAAATAAACCCACAAATAAAAAGTTCTATGGATTCATCTGTTTAATATAGGGAAATAACATTTTGTCAATACTAGGCACCATAAAATGTAAACACAATTACTGTCATAAACCTGGACATACCTTCAAAGACTGAAAGTGGCTTTGTTTTAGTTACCCTGTTTGCATATAGTGCAGGAAAAGATCTTTGTTGGCACTATGTACATAAAAAGAGATCCAAATTACAAGAGAGGCAGATAAAATTTGAATTAAACAGTCACTAAATTGTTTTGTAGTAACATCCAGGTTTATCTTCCTTTCACTAACCACGTTCCCTGTTAAGCACATCATAACAACAGCACAATGACAGGAAATGATGAAATAAAATAATTTTGATACACTAGAAAACAGTGCTCAGTGATACATTTACATTCTATTTATATGATTAAACATTTGATCATATAGTACCTTCCTACAGGATTACTGGCTAATTCAGGGGCAAGGTTTATACTGTTAGAGGTATTACTAACATGATAACTACTTCCCTTATATGCAAACATTAGAGCTATAATTTTATTGAGAGTAAAACTGATTATGCAAGTTGACTGAGCAGCTTCTCATATAGTGTGGTTAATTAAGTCATGGGAAATGTGACCAAAGCTGCCCTTCACATAAAATGGTTTCTCATCCTGCTTTTCACCAAATTTAATCAGTACAGACCAACACAGTCAACCAGGTAATTCTTAACATGAACAAATGGGGAGAAAGAAAATATATATATATGTACATGAATAAACAGGAACTAGATGCGTTTTAGCAAGGAATGTCAGGTGTTAGTTCTGGATGAAACTCGTATTACAGTTTTCATTTCCACAGTTGTGTGCTGAGAGTCTGACCCGATGAACTTCCAGACCATCCTGCTGTTGTGTTCGGGGGCTGGCCAAAACCAGGTGTAGGGTTTGGACTACTGATACTCATGCCAGCCATTTGCTGATTCATCTGTGAAACACATAAACAACTTGGTTTAAAATGATTCATTTTTTTTCTTTAGCTACAGTTGGACATTTTTTCATTAATGTGAAAGTTAGTCAAAGCCATAGGGTAAAAAGCAGACCACCATACAAATATTTCTTTACAAAGCACAAATAACTCCTGTGTTTCCTACTTGTTCTTTATTTTCTTCCTTATTTTAGCATTATCTATAAAATATCAATCATATTATTCAGATTCTACATCCAATTTCTTGTCCCCCCAAGTTAATAACCACAACTTTAAATAACAATCTTTGTTGTATCTGGGTATTATGAAATGAGCCAATTATTCTCAACTTTCGGGACTAAGAAAATAGAGTACTCTAAAATTAGCCCATAAATTTTTGTATGATGGCTGTAAGAATTCTGTATTAAAACCCTAAATGGCTCTACATTCTTTCTGAATATCAAACAAGTGATTATAATATATACATCTAAAATTAATTTTCATTGTATGCTATAAATTATAAGATTACAAATATTTTTCTAAATAGGCTAGTGTCATATATATAGAAATATACCAAAAGTTCTTGGAAAATTGAATTCAATGGTACATTTTGGTGCAAAAATATTCTTCAAAAAGTTCATGAAATGTAATTTTTTGCAACAACTATTTTTAAATTCCATTTTTCTGCTATCAATATAAAAGCATTTTAATTGTATGGTTCTCTTCTAAGAATGGTGATACGTGAAGAAAAGGAAATATTTACCATAAAGTACAGAGTGGGTTCAATTAAACTGCGTTCTGAACTTAATAAAGTTCATGTATTTGAAATTTTTCAGACTTTGATAACTACTACTTTTTCAGACTTTGATAACTACTACAAACTACTTTAATAACCTTATTGTTGGCCAAGATATTCCACTGATGGAAAACTAGAGAAGAGCATCATTCTTCTGTGCTATTTGGAAATAACAGCTCATGTTAACTTCGTATCCGTTCACCTAGCACCTTAACCTGAGCTGGATGAGCTCCAGCATTTTGGCCACATAAGAGATGACACTTAGGAGGTTTGAGATTCTACAGAGATCAATGTCTTACTATAGAAAATTGTCCATTCTCATAAATACTTGTACTGATAACAATAACTTGGAACATTCATGACAGATATACACTGATTTTTCTAATGTTAGAGATCAGTCTAGATTATTCCCTTAATGTTCTCAGCATAAAACAGGTCAAGGAGAAACCAAGATCATCAAAACAGGAAGTGTAAAAGAAAGGGAAGTGGGAATATGAACCGCCATAAGGCTAGAGAAAAAATAGAGCACCTAACTGCTTTAGCCCAACCAAGGCAGAAACAGGACTTTATGAGGGTATGTCTGAGACAAATATGAACTTGTTCACACCTTACAGAAATTTGTGGGTACTCTTTTTAAACATAAAAATCACATTTATAGGATATGTTAAATGGAAATACAACTTAACAAGGGTTTTTGAATAAAAAATTTTTAAAAATCTATGAGCAGAAACCATAAGACACGGAAAACAACCTAGATCACTCACAAAATTGTGCACTGAAAATATGAGGCTGGCACTGTGGCGCAGCAGGTTAAGCTGCACTCTACCATGCCAGCATCTCAAATAAGCACCAGTTTGAGTCCCAGAAGCTCCACTTCTGATCGACCTCCCTGCTAATGCACCTGAGAAAGCAGCAGCAGATTGCCCAAGTACTTCAGATGCTGCCATCCACATGGGAGACAAGGATGGAGTTCCTGGCTCCTGGTTTTGGCCTGGTCCAGACTCAGGTTTACAACCATTTAGGGAGTGAACCAGTGAATGAAGATCTTTGTGTGTGTCTCTAACTATGCCTTCCAAATAAAAAAAGAAAAGAAAATAGGAGACTGGCTATTTTCCTACTCTGTGAAAGTTTAAATTAAAAAAACCCAGGGCCAGCACTGTGGTGTAGTAGGTTAATCCTCCGCCTGTGGTGCCAGCATCCCATATGGGCGCCGGTTCGAGACCTGGTGGCTCCACTTCCGATCCAGCTCTCTTCTATGGCCTGGGAAAGCAGTGGAAGATGGCCCAAGCCCTTGGGCCCCTGCACCCATGTGGGAGACCCAGAGAAAGCTCCTGGCTCTGGATTGGCTCAGCTCCAGCTGTTGCAGCCATTTGGGGAGTGAACCAGTGGATGGAAGACCTCTCTCTCTCTCACTACCTGTGTCAAATAAAAATAAAAATAAAATCTTACAAAAACTTAAAAAAAAATTATTAGGTTGGTCAAAAAGGACTACAAAATGCCCTGGCAGGAAGCTGAGTAACCCCTGGTGCTAAACAAAAAGGGAGAACATAAAGAGTCTAAGGTAATTTGTAGCGATTATAAATAGGGAAAATGAAAAATTTCTCTTTCTGATACACAGTATCTACAGATACCATTTGTACATTAATCCTTCTCACTTCTATAAAATGCCTAGATTTAAAAAGCAAAACCATGTTAGAAAAAAAATCTGTTCTCTTGGATGTGGGAAAGGCTGGAGAGTAGATGACCCTTACCTGTGAGAGGCTCCATTGTGTCTGCTGAGCTTGTGGCAAGCCAAATTTACTCTGGGGTGCACCCATCTGTCCCACCATTCCTCCTTGGGGGCCAACCACATTTTGAGGAAGAGGCATCACACCAGTTTGTGCATTTCCCATAAACCCATTGGGCATCGGCATGCCCACCATCATACTTGCACTCTGTCCCATCACATTTCCAATAAGGCCAGGAGCTGCAGGCACAGGTACACCCATTGATGGAAAACCTTGAAATGCAGCCGGGGCTTGTGAGGTAAATGGTATATTTGTGGGTCCCATAAACACACCTGCATCGTAAGAACCATGAATAGAAAATAAGTAAGAACAGGGCTACTACATACAGCTGCAGTTATAGTAAAACACACAAATGGATTACTGTCTTCTGAATTCCCTATAGCAAAAATTTTTCATTCCAGTCTGTTCCTACTGCTCATTCCAACCTACAACTAAACAATTATTTCCAAAATGCAGACAAATCTGTTTTCAATCTGTCAAAATTTGAGAAATATAAATCTTATCCCATAGCCACACAAAATGTCTTTCAAAGTAAAGAACAAACGACCTAGCATCAGAGTATATGCTGTTTCTCTGACCTACACCACTGATCTCCAGATACCAGAGAGACGGATGGAAGTCAACCATATCTAGCTTTAATGGAAGTAGCTGGGTGGCCATATAATTTCAGGTCACATGTATGTGAAATGCACCTTTTATTTTAGAGGAAATGGTCTGATGGATTAAAACTGTGCTAACAAATTAGTGCTTGATTAGAATTATAAAAAAGTTTCAAAGCTTTTTTGGAAACAATGTAGTAATTCATACTGCTTTGTTTACCTGCAGAGAATATACATTGTACATAAAGTCATAACCTTCATGTAAATCAAATTTTGTAATTCTTCAAAAACTCTGTCCTGTAAACTTCTGAAGAGATCCTGATATGTGAACAGCTTGTTAATTCTAAATGAATAAAATTTTGTGAATCTGTGCATGCTTTTTAATTCTAATGCTTTGTTCATTTTATCGTTGTGTTGACTACAAGTGTGCACTACATATAAAAAGGAGAAGAAATATAATTGATACTATAATTATAATGGATGTACTTTTAACAATTCACTCATAGCAGATTTCAAAGTTAATTACCAGGAGTACTTTGCTGCTGAATGGTTCCTGTACCATACAGAGATAAGATGGAGTCTTTAGAGAGCTGTTTCTTTGCAACTTCTTCTGATTTTGTAGCTTGCTCGGTGAAAAGATCCAGATCCCCAGATGTTACTGTAGACAGGGTGGCAGCTGCTGGTACAGAGGGTGTCCCCTGATACACACCAAAATAAGCTGTCAAATTCTGCACAGTAAAGCATAGCTCACCTATTATTTAAAACCCACATGATGTTATGAAGTAAGACAGAAACAACTGTAATAGATAAACCAGTGACATTTAAGAGATCATTCACTGGCTCACACAAAAAAAATCTGGAGTAAAGGCAAGATCAGATGTCTTCATTTGACTCAGTTAATGTAAGAGAGGGGAACCTGAAGCTCTTTCATAATAAATTGCACTCACCAACTAGGCTAACACTGAATTTCTGCTCCCTGAAATCCTGAACACAATGGGTTCAAAACTAGTTCTGCCGCTGCTGTCAGGACCACCACTCATGGGAGCTGCTCAGCCTTCTCCCTCGGCAAGTACTGCTTTATGGACCGGGTGGTATCCCTTGGAATAAAGAACACTTCTACATTACAGAGGACTGTAGATTTTATCTTTTTAAAAGCTGTGTTAGCGATTATTCTTAGGTGTTTAAATTTAATTGAAAATTGATCCCTGTTAAATATAAAAGTGGGAATAAGAGGGAGGAGATGTACAGTTTGGGACATGCTCAATCGGACTTGCTCCAAACAGCAGACTTAGAAACGTGCCAGGGGATTCCAATTCAATCCCATCAAGGTGGAATGTACCAATGCCGTCTCACCAGTCAAAGTGATCAATTTCAGTTCATGATTGATCATAATGATAGGATTAAGTGTCAAAGGGATCACATAAACAAGACTAGTGTCTGCTAATACTAAATGATAGAATCAAAAAGGGAGAGAACGATCCAACATGGGAAGCGGGATACACAGTAGACTCATAGAATGGCAGATGTCCTAAACAGCACTCTGGCCTCAGAATCAGCCCTTAAGGCATGCGGATCTGGCTGAAGAGCCCATGAGAGTATTTTAGGCATGGAAAGCCAAGACACTCTGGCAGAAAGAAAGAAAAAAAAAAAAAAAAAAACACCTAAATGAAAGATCTCTGGAAGTGAGATCCCAGTGGAAAGAACAGGCCATCAAAGAAGGAGGTACCTTTCTCTGAAGGGAGGAGAGAACTTCCACTTTGACTATGACCTTGTCTAAATAAGATCAGAGTAGGTGAACTCAAAAGGCCTCCATAACCTTGGCAACTCATGACAAGAGCCTCAGGTGATTACTGATGCCATAAACAAGAGTATCAATTGTTAAGTCAACAACAGGAGTCACTGTGCACTTATCTCTGTCCTTAATGTGTTGTCCAATGTGAATTAATGCTATAACTAGTATAACTAGTACTCAAACTAGTACTTACACTTTGTGTTTCTGTGTGGGTGCAAACTGTTGAAATCTTTACTTACTATATACTAAATTGATCTTCTGTATATAAAGATAATTGAAAATAAAAAAAAGCTGTGTTGGAAGACTTTTTTAATACAACTAATCTAGATTAGTAACCACAACATTAGAATGCTTCTAATTTATCCACAAATGAAGCAAAACGCTAACCATCTGAACATTTAGCCATACGTTGTACCTCACTTTTGGATAAGGGGGAAATTAAGTACAAATACAAATAGGGGCCAGAGTTGTGCGCAGCAAGCCAAGCCACTGCTTGTGATGGGATGTCTGCACCCCATGTCAGAGTACGGTTCAAGTCTCGTCTGCTTTACTTCTGATCCAGCTTCTGGCTAATGGGCCTGGGAAAACAGCAAGAGACGACCCAACTGCTTGGGCCCTTGCCACCCACACGGGAGACCTGGATGGAGTTCTGAACTCCTTTTAACTTCAGCCTGGCCTAGCCCCAACTATTGTGGCCATCTGGGGAGCAAAACAGTGGATGGAAGATCTTGATCTTTCTCTGTTATTTGGCTTTCAAATAAATGTCTTAAAAAAAAATACAACTATATGTTGATATTTAAGACAAGACAAAAATTTTTATTAATCTCCTACATCTTCCAGTATTGTACAATAGCAACTGATAATGTTATTTAGTGATCTTGCAATCATACAGGGGTTTTCAGAAAGTTCATGGAAATGTGTATTATGAGAAAACTATTTCAAAAATTTTGCATTAAGATAAATTCTGTTTTCCATGAATTTTTTAAAGTACCCTTAATCACACTGACATGTTTTATAAATGGAAAGAATTTCTATGAAGACAAGTAAAAGCTGCTAAAATTTTTCTCAAACTATATAATGGGAGTATTAAGCAGAAGTTACACTTAAACATTTAACGTCCTGGTTAAAACATCACGTAATAAATTACCATCCAAACATTCTACTTAGATACTAATTTAAAATACATAATTCAGGGGCCAGCGCTGTGGCACAGCAGGTTAAAGCCCCAGCCTGCAGTGCTGGGCATCCCATATGGCTGCCGTTTCAAGTTCCAGCTGCTCCACTTCCAGTCCAGCTCCCTGCTATGGTCTGGGAAAGCAGTAGAAGATGGTCCAAGTCCTTGGGCCCCTGCACCCACATGGGTGACCTGGAAGCTCCTGGCTCCTGGCTTCAGATCAGCTCAGCTCTGGCTGATGCAGTCATTTAGGGAAATGAACTAGCATATGGAAGACCTCTATATCTCTGGCTCTACCTCTCTCTGTAATTCTTTCAAATAAATAAAATAAATCTTAAAAAAATAATTCAAATCAGAACACTATTTTGAATCTATTATGCCTAATTAAGCAAGAATTATGACATCACAAACAAAAGCTACCTAATTTACAAAAACTGAAGTGTGTAAGGAATCAGACATGATGGTATATGAAATATAATAATGCCCTTGATTAAAATGTTTCTGAGCTGCCATGAAGTGGTGTAACACAGAGGCTAACAGCATGGGCTGGAGCCAGCCTTCCTGGACTAGAACAACTTAGGATAGCATGCCCTTACACTGATTCCTTAACTTCTCTGGTCTCTCTCCTGTGCAATGGGATATGCCTGATGACCACAGATGCACTTTGCATAGTAGTAGCATTAAATCCCCAGTGTTTATGATTAGTATTGTTAGATAACAAAGCAACTACATCACTAAGTGATCTTTTCATATTTAGTTCAAAGAATCTTCTGCTCAAAGCCTTGGGGGTCTATTCCTTGTGGATGAGATATAACTAGAAGGAAACTCAAAAAGGATGAGGAAAACAACTCCAGTGTCATAGGGGACTGGCCTAATATCCACAAGCTCTAAACATAGCATATACTTCTCCCGATGAAGGTGGATGATGTGGAAAATTCTTCCCGTGCACAACAGTCTAAAAACAGTTAAACCGGCCGGCGCTGCGGCTCACTGGGCTAATCCTCCACCTTGCGGCGCCGGCACACCGGGTTCTAGTCCCAGTCGGGGCGCCAGATCTGTCCCGGTTGCCCCTCTTCCAGGCCAGCTCTCTGCTGTGGTCCGGGAAGGCAGTGGAGGATGGCCCAAGTGCTTGGGCCCTGCACCCCATGGGAGACCAGGAGAAGTACCTGGCTCCTGCCTTCAGATCAGCGCGGTGCGCCGGCCGCGGAGGCCACTGGAGGGTGAACCAACGGCAAAAGGAAGACCTTTCTCTCTGTCTCTCTCTCTCTCACTGACCACTCTGCCTGTCAAAAAAAAAATAAATAAATAAAAAATAAAAACAGTCAAACCAAACAGCATGACTAGGAAATGCTCACATGTCCATTTATCTGTTAGCACTCTGTTTGCCAGTACTACCATCAAGGATAAAAGAAAAACATCCTCTGCCTGCCATTTATACTTCAAGAGGCTGCACAGGACTTGCAACCAAAAGCTCTCTGGCATTCTGGGATCCCATATGAAGTCAGAACAGGCCTCAGCTCTTGTGCAGGTCTGGATACTGCACGTATACATGTGTATGATAGAAAGGAGAGGGGCTGGCACTGTGGCATAGTGAGCTAAGCTTCTGCCTATGGCTCTGTCAATCCACGGTGGGGAGGGGTGGGTTTGGGTTCGGCTGCTCCTCTTCTGATTCAGATCTCTGCTTATGGCCCAAGTGCTTGGGCCCCTGCATCCATGTAGGAGACTCAGAGGAGGCTCCCAGCTCCTGGCTTCAGATGGGCTGTGCTCTGGAAGTTGCGGTCATTTGAGGAGTGAACCAGCGGATGGAAGACTTTTCTCTCTCTCCCTCTCTCTCTCTCTGTTAACTCTACCTCTCAAATAAATAAATTTCAAAAATACTAAAAAAAAAAAAAAAAAAAAAGGGCCGGGGCCGCAGCTCACTAGGCTAATCCTCCGCCTGCAGCACCGGCACCCCGGGGTTCTAGTCCCGGTCGGGGTGCCGGATTCTGTTGCGGTTGCTCCTCTTCTAGTCCAGCTCTCTGCTGTGGCCCAGGAGGGCAGCAGAGGATGGCCCAAGTGCTTGGGTTCCTGCACCCGCATGGGAGACCAGGAGGAAGCACCCGGCTCCTGGCTTCGGATCAGCGCAGTGCTGGCTGTAGTAGCCATTAGGGGAATGAACCAACAGAAGGAAGACCTTTCTGTCTCTCTCTTACTGTCTAACTCTGCCTGAGTAAGAAGAAAGGGGCTTCGTTCTGTCACCACTCTGAAACAGTTCCCCTGAATCCCCAATTTACATATACATTCCTGTCAGCTGACTATTTCCAATTTCCTTAGGGAAGACTAGTACTCCAGATAAGTAAAGCAGATAATAAAATCAATTTATTTCATATTCAAAATGCAAAAAATTCTATACTAGAATGTATATATACTCAGAGTAATTCATAATCTTGGTGTTCAAATTAGTTTGAGCTTAATTACACACAGTAAAAATCTATATAAAACAGTACAATATATGCATAAAATTTCTATTGAGCTCCCTCCCATGATTTAAGAAGTTATTATTTTGAAAATGTTCAGATTTTTTAATCTTTACAAGCAGATTGGATGACAGATAATTCTGCCAGCCAAATTATTTTATAGAGCTCAACAAAATTGGCCTAATTTTGGTCCTAAAACAAAGTTCCAGGAAGAGAATTATGATTTAAAAAATTAACCCTGTCAATTTACCAAGTATTAATCAGAAGACCCAAAGCATGAAAACAAGTCCTGTCCTACCTAAAGCCAGAAGCCCCAGCTCATTCTGCACTTACATGTTAAACGTTAAGTCTGCATTGTTGGAACTGCTGCTATGACACTGAACAGAACACAGGCAGTACATTGAAACCTCAAATGGAGAGTTTAACTTTCCAAGTAGTTGTAAAGTAACCTGCTTATATCACTCAATCTAAAGAAGTCCCAAGATATAACTGCCTTACTAGAATACTAGACTGAAACAAAGTGCTTTTCATGCTCAGATTGTCAAATATCCTAAATACTTCTTTCCAAATCCACAATATTAAGCAATTTTTATTGTCTCATTTAAACTCATGCCTGTGTGAATTCATATGGTAATTAATGTTAACTGAGATAGAGTAACAATACTTAGTTCCTTTGTGTATGTGTTATTACAGAGGGGAAAGGGGCAAAGCCATAAAATAACTGTCTTTGCTGAAAATAATCTCTACTGCTGCAAACAATTTTGATAAAGATACATTTAAACTAATTATTGCTAAGAAATCTGTTTGTTCAATTCTAGTCATAAATATATAACACCTGACATATAACAGAAAATATGTGCTGGCCAGCGCCGCGGCTCACTAGGCTAATCCTCCGCCTTGTGGCGCCTGCACACAGGGTTCTAGTCCCGGTCGGGTGCCGGATTCTGTCCCGGTTGCCCCTCTTCCAGGCCAGCTCTCTGCTGTGGCCCGGGAGTGCAGTGGAGGATGGCCCAAGTGCTTGGGCCCTGCACCCCATGGGAGACCAGGATAAGTACCTGGCTCCTGCCATCGGATCAGCATGGTGCGCGGGCCGCAGCGGCCATTGGAGGGTGAACCAACGGCAAAGGAAGACCTTTCTCTCTGTCTCTCTCTCACTGTCCACTCTGCCTGTCAAAAAATAAATAAATAAAAAAATAAAAAATAGAAAATATGCGCAATACAAATGATAATAGTCTTCTTCATAAGACAGACTATTTTTTATTACAACTTTCCATCCATACCATCAGATCTGACTCTTTTTCCACAGAAAAGGAAATATTTTATTGCAAATATTATGATATACTGCAACTAGCTGAATTGTGAAGTTAAAATTTAAAACAGAACCTTAATATTGTATGCTTTAAGAGCTAACTTGTAGCCGGCGCCGCAGCTCAATAGGCTAATCCTCCGCCTGCGGCGCCAGCACACCGGGTTTCAGTCTCGGTCGGGGCGCCGCATTCTGTCCGGGTTGCCCCTCTTCCAGGCCAGCTCTCTGCTATGGCCAGGGAGTGCAGTGGAGGATGGCCCAGGTCCTTGGGCCCTGCACCCGCATGGGAGACCAGGAGAAGCACCCGGCTCCTGGCTTCGGGTCAGTGCAATGTGCTGGCTGCAGCATGCCGGCCCTGGTGGCCATTGGAGGGTGAACCAACGGCAAAAAGGAAGACCTTTCTCTCTGTCTCTCTCTCTCTCACTATCCACTCTGCCTGTCAAAAAAAAAAAAAAAAGAGTTAACTCGTATCATCCTGAAAGTTCATATATTTCACCTTATAGAAATTCCATGGAAGGGTAAGAAAGCAATTCAAAAAATTTTCACCAAAAGTACTCTTAAAAGATCTTGATCATTACTAGTAATGTTCTAAATAGGTTTATTTTTTATTCACACACACAAACAGCAAAATAAGTTTTAAGGGAAACCTAAAACAATTTATCTTCAGAAAAAAATAGGAGTTCTGAATTTGCTAGAACTTTTAATTCCAATCAACATTTACATACACGGGCAGCTCTGAAGTGACCTTATGGGGAAGGCTGAAGTAGTCTTTGTTTTCTACTTATTCTTTCTAAACACTACTGTTTCCTTATAGCAAGAGTTAGAACTTTAGGCTTTGTATGTCACGGTTTCTGCTGTATCTCTTCAACTCTGCTTTTATAGCTCCAAAGTTGCCACAAGCAATACATAAACCAATGCGAATGGCTGCCTTCCAATAAAACTTTGAGAAGACAAGGTACAATCTTAGTTTGCCAAACCTTGACCAAAAAACAAAAAGCTTTCAAGCCAGTGACAAAACAATTCTTTTGAACTTTTACAAAAAGGAAATACCACATACCTGAGCTGGGGGCATGACAGTTGCAGGTAAGGGATTAGAAATCATTGGCCCAAAGATGTCCAGGTCATCATTCAGGGCTGGTACTGTGCTTGTGTTCCCATTGGTCACTGGTGCCTCAGCAGGGCCATCTGAAAACAAAAATTTTTGTCTTAAAGTAGAATCTCTTAAATTACTTGAAATATTAGTTTTTTTTTTTTTAAGGAACTACTCAAAAGTTGACAGAAAGGCCACTGTTGTACAGTGGGTTAGGATGCCATTTGATATCAAAGCACACTGTATAGGAGTGTTAGTTTGAGCCCTGGCTACTCCACTTCCAATTCAGCTAACTGCTAATGTACCTAAGAAGTCAGTGAAAGATGGCCTAAGTATTTGGGCACCTGCCATCCATGTGGGAGACCCAGATGGAGTTCCTCGCCTGGACCTGGCTATTGTAGCCACTTGGGAGAGTGAACAAGCTGTTGGAAGATAGCTCTCTCTGTGTGTCTGTTGTCTCTCTGCTTTTCAAATAAATAACTCTTAAAAAAAAAAAAGTTGATAAATATATGCCCCTCTTCCTCAGGAGAAATCTGTCCTCTTTCCCAAAGAAGCTATTTCCAATTTTGTTTATCCTCTCAGAAATATTCTTTATCCACTAGTTTCCAAATATATATGCAAACCTACCTTTTGACAAATGACATCATACTATTCCCATTATTCTGCATCCTGATTTTTTGTATGATCATAAAAACTTTTTATAATGCTTCCTGTGTGCCAGGAATTGATATATAAATTCATTTAATTCTAATACTGTATGAGAGAGACATAGCTTTTGAGGTAAGTGGCTAAAATGGAATTTGATACCAGGCTTCTATAAATAATGCAACCTAAATGCATGTATGAGTTTGTGATATCACTTCATATCTTTTTTTGGTTAAAGATTTATTTATTTGAAAGAGTTACAGAGAGAGAGAGAGGGAGAGGGAGAGAGGGAGGGAGGGAAGGAGGGAGGGGAGAAGCAAGGCGAGGCGAGGCGAGGCGAGGAGGGGAAAGAGAAGAGACGAGATGAGAAGAGACGAGACAGATAGCCACAATGGCCAGCCCTGTGCCAGGCCAAAGCCAGGAGCCAGGAGCTAGGAGCTTCTTCCAGGTCTCCCATGTTTGTGGCAGGGTCCCAAGTACTTGGCCATCTTTCACTGCTTTTTCCAGGCCATTAGCAGAGAGCTGGATCAGAAGCAGAGTACCTGGGACACGAACCGGAACAAATACAGGATGCTGGCATCACAGGTAGTGGCTTTTTTGCTATGCCACAACACTCCCCCTGCCCCCCAACTTTTTTTTTTTTTAAGATTTATTCATTTTGGAGTGGGGAGAAGGAAGAGGTATCCTCCATCTGCTATTTCACTCCCCAAACGGTTGCCACAGCCAAGGCTGGGCCAGGTCGAAGTAAGGAGCCTGGAACTCCAATTGGGTCTCCCACATGGTGGCAGAGGTCCAAGTAATTGGGTCAACTGCTGCTGCTTTCCCAAGTTCGTTAGCAGGGAGTTGGATCAGAAGCATAACAACTAGGACTTGAACTGGCACTCTGGCATGGGATGCTGGTGTCACAGACAGCGGCTTACCCACCATGCTACAACACTGGCCCCACTTCTTATCATTTGTACTTCCCTGGAAATAACTTTCAATGATTTAAAATGTTTGAAATGTTGCAATTCATAATAAAGAAAAAAGAAAGCACGCAATTTATAATTTATATTAATTCTATAAGAAACATATATAAAACTCTGAAATGTCTTGTTTTTTAGTTCATTAGGCAGAGAGACAGCTCCTATATGCTAGTCCACTCCCCAAATGCCTGCAGTGGCTGGAGACAGGAGGTTGCAAACTCAATCCAGGTCTTTGATATCAGTGGTAGGAACAAAATTATTTGAACAATCACCATGCCTCCCAGGGTCTGCACTGGCAGTAGGCTGGAGTCAGCAGCCAGGGTCAGGAACTGAACTTAGTCGCCCCAATATGGGACTTGGGTGTTTTAACCAAGCCACATATGCTAGGCCAAAGGTGCACACCTTACGTCCTTTATTCAGGCACAGGCACCTTTTGATGATGCAGTACTAAGCCACTGAGCTGTAAAGGGAAAGGGACTCTGACAGATTCCTGCTTAAACTTTCAAAATAACTAATATTACTTTAAAAACAATTAGAAGTATTTTGTATCTCCTCTTTATGTTAGACACTAATTTACCAGGGTAAGGAGTACAATCTGGAGTGAGTGCAATCGGGGAGAGTCTACAAGCATGGCTCTTACACAGTTCAGTTTTCTTTGGCCACAACCAAATAACAGTTCAGAGCATCACAATTTCAATCTCTTGGGATTTACATCAGTCTTTTAACAATTTATAGTCTCATTTGATCTTTTTGATAGACCATACCCTCCTCAAAGGTAAATCAATCACCTGAGATGGTTTGCACAAAGTAGATACTCAAATATTTGACAAATTTAATGGAAAGTCTACCACCTACTGTGTATGTTCACCACAACCCACAGAAACGCATGTGTTTCATCTCTTTTTCCAAGTAGAACTACAGAAATTAGAATCTTTAATTTTCCTGTTTAAGTCCCAGTGAATTACAAATTATTAATATCAATGAATAAATGGGTTACAATAAAAATGTTCTATTAATTCATATTGTGTAAAAACCAATTTAGGTTAATTTGAAAGATATCAAGTATTTTTCGAGTTTTTTTCAGGTAAATCATATCAAGATTGTAAAATACATTTACTACATATGTATATATATTACATATGTTTTATATATACACATACATACACATGCACACACACGTATATGTCAAGCACCACTGATAACTAAAATGTAAAAAATGCATATATTATTATAGTTAATAACAAAGAATTTTTAAATGAGACAACTATCAATTACAAAATATGAGAAACACGATTTTTTTCATTTTTTTATTTTTGACTTGAAAGGTAGAGTTAGAGAGAGAGGAGGGGAGACAGAGATAGGGCTTCCATCACTCCCTAAAGGGCTGCAATGGTCAGAGCTGGATCAGACTGAAGCCAGGAGCCAAGAGCTTCTGCCAGGTCTCCCATGTGGCTGCAAGGGCCCAAGTACCTGGGCTATTTTCCATCGCTTTCCCAGGCACATTAGCAGGAAGCTGGATCAGAAGTGGAAGCTGAGAATCTACTCAGTGCCCATATGGGATAGTAAATTTCATGTGTATTTTATCAAAATTTATTTATTTTCATATTATTTGAAACTGAAACAGACACACAGACATCCACAAACAGCTAGAGCGATCTCTGCTGGTTCATTTCTCAAATGCCTGCAATGGCCAGGGCTGAGCCAGAGGCTAAGAATTCAATCCAGGTCTCTCAGAAAGTTGGCAGGGACTACCACTTACTACCTTCTATAGTGCATATTAGCAGGAAGATGGATCAGAAGCAAAGCTGGGACTCAAGCCAGACACTCAAGCAACTTAACCACTGCACCACATACTTGCCTTGCCTGCTTTAGCACAACTTAAAAGATAACTTATATAGGATCACATAAAAATAGTTTTCTTTATATAGCAAAATTTATGCATCTGTGAGCAGTGATATTAAATGGCCTATAACAATCTATTAATTCGTGATTCATAGGCAGTTTCAAGATTTTCAGCAATGCAAAACCAGAACAGTGACTATCCATATTCTTTAATATAGTCTGTATACTTCAGCTCCCTTCACTACAAGCTAATCTGATTTCTGTTTCTGTCACTACACTGTAATAAGGTTCATTTTTTCATTGTTTTTTTTATGTTAATATTTTAAAACTGGCCTCTTGAAATCTTGGGCATTCCAGAAAACCAGCAATTCTAGGCTCTTTGTAACTGCTTACCATGGTTAATGGAGCTGTCCTGAAAGTCAACCCATAGGGTAAGTTGACTTAGGAATCCATTAGAAGGAGACAAAGGAAGTATCTGCTTAGTGACAGCTACATTTTGTGGCAAGGTTGGCACTATTTTCTATTGACTGATAAAAATTTTCTCATACCTCCAAAAAGATTAAAGTTTCTCTCAGGCCCAACCAAAGTTTCTCTCTATGCACACTCCTTTGCAATGAACACAGGTAATTGTTTCCACATAAATACAATGTACTTGCTCTTCTTTTTTCTCTACCTCCTTCTTCTCTCCACATGATCCTTTAATGATGGATGCTGGATTTTGCTCCAATGGATACTGTACTACAAAAGCTATGCATTGACAGAATTATTGAGAAATAAATTCTTAACCTAAATGAAAACTTCTAAATCTTGGAAAATGACTAAATAACAAATTCCCACTAAGTTTCGATGCTTGCTAATTTCCCTAATACTTTTGGATTGCTAAACCACATTTTTTTTATTTTAAAAAAAGATTTATTTACTTGAAAGGCAGAGAGAGACAGACAGAGCGGGGGGGAGGAGGGGGAGAGGGGGAGAGGAGAAGAGGGGGAGAGGGGGAGAGGGAGAGGGGGAGAGTGAGAATCTTCCATCTGCTGGTTCACTCCCCAAATGGTCGCAACAGCCAGAACTGGGCCAATCCAAAGCTAGGAGTACAGGGGCCCGAGGACTTGGGCCATCTTCTACTGCTTTCCCAGGCCATAGCAGAGAGCTGGCTCAGAAGTGGAAAAGCTGGGACTTGAACTGGTGCCCATATGGGATGCTGGCACTGTATGTGGCAGCTTTACCAGCTATGCCACAGTGCTGGCCCCTAAACCACATTCTTTAAAAAGGTTTTTTTCCCCAATTTATTTTGAAGGCTGTTGTATTTTTAATTTATAGTATTTAAAAATTAGGACAAGTGGGGCTGGCATTGTGGCACAGACATAAAGCCATCACCTGCAACACTGACATCCCATATGGGCACTGGTTTGTGTCCTGGTTACTCCACTTCCAATGCAGCTTCCTAATGGCTTGAGAAAAGCAGCAGAAGATGGCCCAGGCGTTTGGGCCCCCCCCCCCCCATCAATATGGGAGAGCTGGATGAAGCTCCTGGCCTCAGCTTGACCCAGCTCTGGCAGTTGCAACCATCTGGAGCACAGAGAAGTGGATGGAAGATCTCTCTGTAACTCTGCCATTCAAGTAAATAAATTAAAACAAGGACAATT